CATAGTACATCTGTTACATTTCTTACAATACTCTGCAATTTCACGAGCCATTCCGGGGCAGAGGCATCTTTGTCCTGCCAGGGCTTSTGTCTTATCGATGTCTTTATGTCATCATGAATGSATGTCAGTACCTTACTCTTCAGGTTATCTGGTAGTATAAGCTTGTGGACTYCATTGCCATTGATAAGGGTGATRTGATATCAGACTGAATCTTTTTCCTTTATCCTCTTTCAATTTCGCAGAAGTTTGCGGCATTCTTGAGTTCTTTCATGAATTGTCGAAGGGTGGGTGGATGTTTACGCTTCCAGTAATACCAGAGTCGGCTATCATCTGAAGTTTSCATGGTGCTCAGATCTKCTTTGGAGATAGATGGTAGAGTAGATGTTGTCTGTGCTGCTACTAAGTGAGATCTTGCACAAGACGTTTGAGTAAGAATTTCTGAAGAACGTTTTTAACTGAAGCTGTAATGCAACTAGGTATCAAAAACATTTTCATGCTCACTGGTTATACCCTCTAGTCTGGCAGTGACTGTTTCCTCTCCATGGTGGTCTGTTCGGCTTTAAGACGTCAGCATTGCGGTTGCTTCTTCAAGAACGATATTTTGAAATTAAATTGTGCAAGTTCAGCAGCCTATCTTGTCTCAGTGGCTCCTAACTTTGCAGAAGTCTGAAAATAACTCAGAGGGTCACTGTCAGTATAGTTCTGCATGTTTCTTTCCGTGGGTTTTAGAACTCGGCTTGCGTAGCTCAATRCAGTAAGTCCAGCATTTTCTTGTTCCTGCGACCAAACTGCACCCAGTCCGCGGAAACTAGCATCAGTCTCCAGGATAAAATCTCGACTAAAGTTGGGGAACCCCAGTACAGGCGCTGTTGTTAGAGGATCTTTAAGCTTTTTGAAAGCCTCATCACAAGTACTTCCATTGTCAAACTACTGGACTCTTCTTGCTTCCCTTTTTCCTGCCTGTGGATACTACTGACCTCTCAAGAGATTCTGTAAGGGGCTTTCAATTTGTGCATAGGTGCAAATGAATCTTCTGTAATAACCAGAGAGACCTAAGAAACCACGAAGTTCACGAAATGTGTCTGGTTTCTTCCAATGTTTAACTTCTCGAATCTTCTCGGGATCAGGAGATGTACCTTCACTGGTAGCGATGTGACCAAGGTATCGAACCTTTCTTCGGAACAGCTGGCATTTTGAAGGTTTGACTTTAACCCTATTCAGACTGGGGGGGGCCTTTTGAGCCCCCCCTCGCGTAAAAAGCCAATAACTTTCGAACCAAGACAGCTAGAGCTCTGAAACTTTCGGACTTTTCCTAAAATTTATCTGGGCAGATTTTGATATAAATGTTTAGTTGATAACGTCATCCATGTCGCCATGGCAACCAGTTTTTGACACATAGGTTTTCAAAAGTGTAAAATAAGCTTAATTTTTCATTTTTAAAGCTTATTTCTTGTTTTATTATGCATCTTTTACCTATTTGAGCTTGCTCCCATTGCTGACTCTACAATACCATAATACTTTTTCGAC